ATTAAAAAACATCAAGGCCAGAATTAGTCATCTCAAACTAGTACCTAAAATAGCACTTTTTTGTTTTAATGGAAGACTGATTTCAAAAATTCATACTCAAGCTGTTTTCTCAATACTCACAACTGTTTTCCCTTTGTGATTCAACCCTAATATAACTGTACGGATGGAGTACAAAACTAATTCAAAGATATCTAACTTTGATTAATGAAGTGCAGATAGCATGACTCCACTGAAACAAGAAGAGGAGCTGTCATGGAAGAACACAATTTTTTAAGATAGAAAAGGCTATTGGCAGTGGTAACTTATACTCATGTGTCTTAAGAGGATTTATATGAAACAGTACCAGCCCTACGCAATGCATGATCCTAAGCACATCTCATAGCTAGTCACACTTGTGAAGGCAAATTGAGACATCCAAGATCAAGAGAAAGATTTCCACTACTATTTCTATCTGAAGTCCTAAACCAGCAATTGATATTGAATGGGCAGACTGCTCTAACTGTGTCGAGCCTCACTGGCTTCAATGGGGCTCAGCACCGGTGCAACAATTTGCCTGCATACTATTCATTTAGTTTGCTGTGTCTATACAAATACACCTCGCACAGCAGGCAACCAGTTGCAAGAAAGAAATGATTAAATTGTGTGAATACACTTTGAGCCATTCATCTGACAAGTTCTTGAAGATTGCATAAAAATAGTCAGCATTAAACTGTTTCCTCTCTTCAAGCTGATGTGTATTTTACACCACCGAGAACTGCAGAAACCAACCAAATTAATAGCAGGCTAGTCTGTGTCCCTCTACAACTCCACCTGTAAGCACTATTAGTTAATGCTACTGTCAGCACCCTAAAATGAAATGGGCAAAATGAAGAAAAATGAGAAATATAGTTAGTGAAAACCAAGAAAGGGAAAAAGCAGCAAAATAGGAGGAGCTAAACCTGAGAGACAGCACACTTATGGTGAGTGGAAGGCATGCTGCACTGCCTAGGAGATGCTCAGCACCTCACAGAATCACAGCCCAGAGGAGGCAGGCAGAAAAGGCAGTTGTGTTACTTGCCTCTGCACAATATTCTCTCTCCTCACCCAAGAGCTTTCTTGGACACTAAAGTTGAGTGGGCTACCACCATACTTAATTTAGGCATAATACTCAACTCCCCCAAAAAGATGTGAAAAGGGTTGAGAATTACACAATTTAGAGAAAGAAACACACATTACTGATATACAGTAAGTCACTTCTTTTATGATCCAGTGAATATGGCACTGGCTTGGAAAAGGAACTGTAACCCAGGTAACACTTATTCTACCGTTGCATCCTTTTCGGTACACTTACCTCATAGCTACACTACATGAACTATTTGTCATCAACATTAACTGTTTTAAAAACACATTTAGGTCACTTAGTCTGCGACAAGCACAAGACCCAGGAAAAGGGTATGAGTGCAAGAGCTTAAGTGACCCCATACTCAAGTAGGACTCTTGAACTGCTACTCCCGTGTCCTGATCAGTTCCAACTGGGTTCTGGTTTATAGCTAACAGATTGAAAAGAAGATGTTCTGCTGTCATGCTAGGAAAACACACAGCAAACTATATTATTAGGGACTGTGACCAGGCATGTGTTTCATAGGCCAGCAGCTGCACAAGGCACCTTGCTCAAAGACACTAGTCTCTCAGCTTACTATAAGGAGACACATTGAAACTGCAAGACAGTGAATTTAAAACGGAGATAAGAAACTGCTTTTTCTTTTATGCAATGTGTAACAAACCTATTGAACTCCCTGCTTTAAGAGAAAAGTGAAGCCATAATTAGGTATTTAGATAGACGAGAACATCCAGAGTTACATTAGATAGGATAAAAGAGTTTTTTAAAAGGATGTAAGTCCCCATGATGCAAGGCATAAGTCAACCTCTACCAGTGGTTAGAATTTGCTTCTGTGGGCAGGTTATTATGTAACTGGCCATTATATGACTTTTTGCACGCTAACAATACAGGACTTATTCCTGATCATTGACAGAGACACAATACTGAACAAAGATGGTCAATATGTCTGATGTAGTAAAGTAATTCCTACTGTTTGGTCCTTTCTTGTGTAATGAAGATGACATGTTGGTGATTGAGTTGGCATGGAAAGTCCTCCATGCACAAGTGAGTGTTTGTTAATGTCACAGTTATGGTTGGCCTTTACGTAGATGTTCCCTATCTTGAAAATGAGTTCTGAATCACAGTGGATATAAACTCTACAGTACGGTTATCAAGAGTCTGTGGCACATCATTAATTTTGGTGATAGATTGTCATTTCTACAGTAATACAAAATAAACTGTAAAACCAATATATAACAGTGTATGCATGAATATAAAAATAAACCACACCATCAATATGTAACTTTAATATGCCATCCCCAAAATAGTCATCTTCTCAACAGTCTTCCCTACTGAGGAGTTGGTTCTCATTCTCATATCCATCAGGCAGGTACATTTTCCTTAACTGATCTGACTGCGGAATGGAACTACCATTCTTCACATGACGAGACAGGAAAGCTCGCACTGATGGATGGTCAGCTTTCTCAAGTGGGATGTTAGCTTCCAAGCACATCTTCACAAAGTCCTGGATGACAGTGATTTTCTCTGTCTGAGTAGCACTGTTGCATTGGAGAGAAGCAGTCAGAGCCCTCGGCTTCTTTCTGACACTCTGCTCTTCAAACTCTGCCTTCCGCTTTGTATGAGTTTTAGACTTGAGATGGTCATTGATTGCAGATTTGCGAACGTGATTCAGGACCATATTGCAGGAAGTACAGAACAATTTCCCTCCATCTTCATGCAGTTCACTCCCAAACTCGGTTACACGATCCTGAGGGGTCACGTACAAAGCTGTCTTAGAACGGTTATGGGAAGGAGAAGCTTTCACTCCAAATCGCTCCATTGTTGTTTTCACTAAGCTTCTTTTAAAAAACAAGAGAAACACATATCAGATTCATGTAAGTCAAGTGTCCTAGGCTCCACATGTATATATCTAGATGTATTTTATTCACTTTAGACATAACTGTGCAAAATATTGTACATGCTAGATATGACCACCAGGAAGACAATGTGAGAGAAGTGTACTTAAGAAACTACATATAAAAACTTCAAAATAATTTAGATATCCCATTCAACTATCTCACAGTAGTCTGGGGAATCCAGAGTTTTACTTATGATTCAGATTTGTTTGGTTAATAAGTCACCTTGAACAGCCTGTGGGAGACACAAGGCCCTACAGCTATCTATTTTAAAATTTTTACACCAACTGGCTGACATGGTATTTATCTTAAACAACAGACAAATTTCCAGGAGCTGAGACAAAATTACATGAATGGAAGGATGTGTAGCCTCATGTCATGGTGAAAAGGTTTCTGTTGAGGCAGAAATTTCTCATGAACTAGGGTAAAATGTTCAAAAGTTTCTATAGCTGCAGAATGGACACGACCCAGTTCGAAATAAATTAAAACTGCTCATCACTGGAAATTAGATGTGTACTTTAAGAAGAGATTTTTACTGTTCAAGAAATGTAGCTTCTTCCCAACTACTTTTATTAGACAAACATTGCACTTTGATGCCTAAGTGCTGTTTTGAGAGTAAACATTGCTTCATTCTGTTTACCTCCTTCGAATCAATACAGTTTATTCCAGGAGATACACACTTCTCAAAGTATGTAGTATTAACAGGACATTGCCAAATATTGCTAATGGAAACACTTGACCCTTTGTCAGAACTGATTTGAGAATATCCACCCCTTATCTGCTCATATCCCAAATATGTATGTATTTAAAGTAGAATCTGGGTTGCGTTTTAAGCAATTAGCAACGGAAAGCCCTACTGATCATAGCATTAGAAAGGAACAGGCAACGCCTTGTGCTCTGACAGGGCCGCACTGAAATCAATAGACGCCCTGCATCCATCACATTGCAAAAGCGGGGCCTAGGTTTTTCAAGTATGAGGTGAGGTATCTCTGAGATGAATGCACAGATGTTACCTCTGTTCGGCCTAAACCCTTCAAAATCACGCGTTTGCTGTTACAAAAGCAGCGTACAGCCGGCGTCTGGGGAGGGAGGAGAAACTGGAACAGGGGTTGTTAGAGCGATGATGTCCGGTTCTCGCTAACACCCACCCACCGGAACCCGCCCATCCTGCCCCTGCAGCAGACCTATCACCCCGGACTGCAACCCCCCCACCCCCCGTCTATCTCCCCGCCCCCCGGCACCGTTACCCGCCCAGCCGCGAGCTCCCCCAGCCAGGCCGGAGGCGGTGCCGATCCCGGCTCCCCGCGCAGGGCCAAGAGCGCAGCGCTCCCCCCCCCCCCCCCCCCTGTCCCATCTTACCGCCGCAGGGCGGACGGGGCCCGGCCGGGCAGCCCCCGATCTCCGCCCCCTGGCGAGCGGGCCCTGCACAACCTGCGGCTACAGCGATTTACCCACCCAACCAGCCGCGGTAGGCGGGACTTGGCAACCTAGCAACGTCTGCTCCAATCAGTGAGCTGTTAACCTAAAGAAAGATGTGAGGGACTGGTCGCCTTGCTAGATTGTAAAAAGATGAGCAAAGCTTCCGTCCAATTACAAAGTTGGGGGCGGGAAAAATCTTATGGTTGAGAGCTCTTTCGTCCAATCTGGAGGAGGGGAAATACTCACTATGATGGACGGCTATAAAACCCAATCATATGTAGGAAAAAATGGACTGAAATTGATTGACTTCACTTCTTACCAATCACAAGGCAGAACCGAAGTAATAAAGATAGTTTTCATCCAATCAAACGCAGGCGATCCGAGACAGGGCGAAGAGAGGAGTTAAGGATGAGAGATCGTTGGCTGCTCTTCCTCCCGCCCCACCGTTAGCAGATGATTGGCACGTTCAGTAGCCCGTGAGATCGCGGCCGGTGGGAGGTGCCGGATGTGAGGTAGTTGGCGAGGAGGCGGGCCATCCGGTGTGTCGGGGCGGGGGAGGGGGGCTCGGTACGCGCAGGGTGGCCGGAGCAGCATGGCGGAAGACGAGAGCGACCAAGAGTCGGAGCGGCTCGGAGAGGAGCTGGAGGCCATCGCGGGGCCGCGTATCCTCGCCGGGGTCTCGCCCGCGCTCAGTAGCCAGTATTACTGCCGCCGCTTCTGCCAGGTGAGCCCCGCCCCGCCTGCGGGCCGCTCCTCGCCCCTCCCCCAAGCCTGGGGGGTGTCTGGTTTCTTGGGGCCTGTTCGGTTCCCACGGGTGGGGGGAGGGCGGTTCGGTTCCTCCCTCGGGCCCGCGAAGGGGGAGGGGCCCCGTCCGGCGGGTGTCGTCTCGTCCCCAGAGCGGGGAGCGCAGTCTCGCCCTCCCCCTTCCGAGGGGTCGGTCTGGGGCCTCTGCCCGTCACCGGAGCCCCGTTTGGATCCGAGCCCTGGCGGTGTCCGGCGGTGGCTGGGAGCGGCCCCTCTCCCCGCCCTGTGTGCGGCCTCCTCCCCCGGCTGCCGGATTCCCCCCGCGGCCTTCCCCGGTATCACGGGTGGGGTCGGAGGGGAGCGCTGGGCGCTCGAGGGCTGGCCGGGGCTCGGGCTCGGGTGTGTCTACGCTGGGGAAGTGAGGCCTGGGACAGGCGGGGGTGGGTGGGGGGGGGGGGGGGGGGGGGGGCGGGGGGGGGCGGGGGTGGGGGGGCGGGCCACCGGGGGGGGGGGGGGGCTGTACAGCCACCCCAGGTTAGGCGTTGGTACCCCACACACACACCCCCAGCCCGAGAAATGGCAGCACGTGCTGGGTGGTTGTTTTCTCCTGCGCTGGGGGCCAAACAGGTTGTGTGGCTTTTGTGTGACTGGGGGTGTTTGGAGGCGGCGGGGAGATTTCTGACACTGACCGTCAATAGGAAACACCCGTCTACATGTAGCGTTTCTCCTCGCGTACTACCAGGGTCCTCTTCTTAACGCCTTTCATAATGGTTGGATTGCCTCCGACATTGATCTTGAAGTGGGTTCCTGACTAGCTAACCAGAAAACTGCAGGTAGTTTTTCCTGTATGGTTTAATTGGACACCAGGCAGTACAACTGAGGAAGCATTGTCCCATTTAAGTGCCACCCAGCTAGCTATCTAGAATCTGGCCTAGAAAATTTCTGTGAATTTATTTCATTTCTAAACTTCTGACATACAGCTCCAGGAGATTTTTTGGGGGGGGGGGGTCGTTTACCAAAGTACCATATTTTCTCAACAGATATTGCCAGAATGCCAGATATTTTGTGTTTTCAGTAATTTGCTTTCCTGTTATTTCGTTGAATGGGGCACTAACTTGACATTGAGTGTATTGAGATTTAGACTAAGCTCTTTGGTTCAGGGCCTGCCCATTTGTTCTGTGTTTGCACAGAGGCTAGCACGGCAGGGTCTTGGTCTATGACTGAGAGTGCTGTGCGCTATGGTAGTATAAATAAAAAATAACAAATGAGTTGAAAATAGTTTGGTAGTGGTTTTACAGCTCCATTTCTGTTGTTCAAACATTCCTTTTCCCCTTTGTTGTGAGACACTCATATAAACATAAACTGCCATTACACAATGTCAAAAGTACAAACTGAAAAATCTGTCAAATATTTCAGTTATAATTTAATGGTTGCTTGCGACAATAGTAGGCAAAAATATTCAGACAGAAGTTGTGACTTTGAAATTGATGGGTTTTGTTAATTTTGACAGGGAATGGTATACTTCTTTATCCAAGGATAGGGGTTTTGCTTTAAATCTTTCCAGTGAAACTTGTTTTGTAATGCACCCTTTTGCCTCAGGAAGAGGTGCTGGTGAGGTGATAGTTGTATATGCTAATCCCACCACCACCCATATGGAGATGAATTAATTAATAGGCAACAGGAAGAGGCCAAGACCAGAGAGGGAACTTGGATACAAAAATGTATAATCCGTTTTATTAGCAATACAGTGTTTTAAATCCCCAAACAGTTGGGTTTTGCTGCAGTCTTGTTGGCTAGAGATTTTAACAAAACTTTTCCACCCTCTTACTCTTCTGTTTGAAGAGTAGAGGTGGGTGCTAATTTTGAGTGTGTGAAGGATGCAGTTTTCTTCAGTCAGTATACAAATTTTCAATAATCCAAATAAAAGTGAGTGTCAGTAAAATTTGTTTTCATTCTATCGGATTTTTAATGTTGGCCAGATGAACAGTAAATGCACATTTGTGTGCTTATTCAAGGCATAATCCTTGGAGTCTTGTGAAAGTATCCTTGAGTCTCAAGGCTTGTCAGCATAAGGCAGTGGTTTTCACACTGGGATATGTGAGCTCTTGTCAAGAAATATGCAAAAAAAAATCCTATACTGATGGACAACACATTTTATTTAATAAGACTTGGCAATCCAATCATGATTAGGGTCATTACATATCTCACATGGGGATACAAGGCGGACTACGTTATTTGGAAAGGGTTACACAGCCGAAGAAGTTTGAAAACCACTGGCATAAGGGATTTCTATACCAGTGTAGCTGCATTATTCCAGACTCCCAACATAGAGGAGCTGCAGCTGTGTAAAGCAGGGTTTGCAGCTATGATTTATCATAGTTTGGAAACAGATTAAGTTGCATAGATACAAGCCCTATATTAAATGCAGAACATCTATAGTGAGGTTTGCAGTGGTGCAAAAAGCCCTCAACCTCAGTCTGCAAGCAGCAGAACTGCTCACTAATATAGAATGATGACACAGATGTATTGTTTTCCTGTTACTACTTTTCTAGATCCCAATGACTTATAATTCTGTCTCAATTTGTTGTCTCCTTTTAAAACTAAGTCAAAAACATTCCATCTTGCTACTAAATGCTATTTACTTTGGCATTCCTTTTCTCATTTAGATATTTTCTTCCTTCTCTAAACAATATCTTCTCTTCACTCAGTTCAGAACCCATCGCAACATTCTAGGCTCCTGATCTGAGCTTTGTGCTGATTTAGTTGGACCAAGAGACAGGCCACTTCACAACCTCCTACCCGCCTCCCTCCCTTTTGTACCAATAAAAAAGCTTGTACTTCTCCTTTCTAAAGTTCTTAAGTAGTGTGGAATTTAATTAACATCACTATATTCCTGTTCCTTGGTCAAAGAGAAGAAGCAGTTGTGTGGGTAATTGCTTAGAAAAGATGCTATGAGGTTGAACTGCCTAAAGGAAGCGATTTGTTCCTTTCCAAAATAGCAAGTAAACTGTTAAAATAACTAGGTTGTAAGTTAATATGGACAATGGTATAAATCAGCATCACCAAATTTATTATTGCTGGTCCAGGTATAATCCCGCTACGCAATCTGAGAAATGTGTACACAGATGTTTTTTATGGTTGGGATATGTTATAAAGAGGTACCATGTATTTGAACAGGAGGACCCCTTACTCTGTTGAAGTGTGCTTTATTGTATTGGAATTTCAATTTAAGATAGTGGTTGAATAGGCAGTTATGACAATATCTCTGTTGTATATTGTATATCAAATAGTGCTTTTCTAGATAGGTGTGCCTACATTTTAATAGGGTCAGAACAGATTAGTGTGGTGGTGTACATGGATTCTCTAAAACGGGTCGGCAACCTTTCAGCAATGGTGTGCCGAATCTTCATTTATACACTCTAATTTAAGGCTTTGCGTGCCGGTAATACATTTTAACGCTTTTTAGAAGGTCTCTCTATAAGTCTATAATATATAACCAAACTACTGTTATATGTAAAGTAAACAAGGTTTTCAAAATGTTTCAGAAGCTTTATTTAAAATTAAATTAAAATGCAGATTTTATCAGTTTAGTGTGATCCTTGCCCTTGCTTTTCCTTGCTGAGTTTTCCAATGTCTGGCACGTATTTGGATACTTTAAGCTGCACACAGGCTTCTGAGTGATCAGTTGTTAACCGGCTCCGAGAGGGACAGAGGACAGATTTCATGTGTGAAAATACCTGTTCACACAGGTATGTGGATCCAAATGCTGAAAGCATTACAAATGCAATTTTCTTCAAACAGTTAAATTTCACTGGCAGGGACGTCCAGCAGGTCAGAATAGAGGCCCCATGATCTCTCTCGATAGCTTCAAGTGCGCTCCGCAAATCCACAAACTTTGATATCCACAATTCTGAGCTTTTTAACTGAATGAGTTGCATTTCGAAATCTTCAACACCCATCCACTGAAATACAGACAAATCCAAGTCGCTTTCGTTGAACTTTTCTGGTTTAATTAGAAAAGAAAGCATTGGGCCAAATCGTTGGAAATCTTGAAATCTGTCAGAAAATTCTGATTCCAGTTCTTGCATGTACTTTCCAATCTCATCAACACTGACAGTGCAACGTGTCGATAGCTCTTTTATGTGTTGGAAGTAGCGGAAAGTAGAAGTTTGAATATCCCTAGAAAAAACTGCTAGTTTCACAACAAATGCTTTCCAGGCTTCATAAAGATCCAGAACTGTTTGCCCTGCACCCTGGAGACAGAGGTTGAGTTCGTTCAGGTGAGCAGTGAGATCAGTTAGGAACATGAGCTTACACAGCCATTTGTCATCATCTAGTTCGGGGTAGTTTTGTTCTTTTTCCGACAAAAAGGCCTTGATTGCCACAAAACAGTTTACAAAGCGCACCAAAACCTTGCCACGACTTAGCCACCAAATGTTGCTGTGAAGTGGGATGTCGTTATAAGCACTGTCCATCTCTTCTAGCAGTGCTTGAAATTGTCTGTGAGTCAAAGCAGATCGAGCAACAAGGAAATTCACACTTCGCACCACTGTATTCATCACATTATTAAGCTCTGAATTAGAAATTTTTGCACACAGGTTTTCTTGATGGATGATACAGTGAAATTTGACTGTCGGATGGCCAATTTGATCTTCAAGTAACTTTACAAATCCCTTCTGTTTTCCAACCATGGCAGGAGCACCATCTGTTGTCACACAAAATATTTTTATGATGTCAACTCCTCGTTCTTCAAAATGGTTTACAAAACTTTCCAGTATATCTTCCCCCTTTGTTATGCCATGCAGGGTTTTAGGCAACAAAGATCCTCTTGGATTTCATCGGAAGCACAGTATCTTGCAACAGTTGCCAAACGTGGAACGTCGTTTATATCCACGCTCTCATCAACTGCAACACTAAACACTGCTGTGTCTTTCAATGCAGTCGTCTGCTTTTCCTCAGTGTTTTCTGCCATTTCACTTA